TTACCCTCTGCTAGCCCCCCCCCACCCCTCAGAATCTTTGTGTTAAGACTCCCTAGCCTAGGACACTGCCCAGTGTAGTCTCATTGAATTGTTGGGCTAAGACAGTTGAACAAAGTAACTCCCTCAGGTCATCCATCTGCAACTACTTAAAGGCTGTGGGGTGAATTTGGGGAAATAGAAGTCAGGGTTGCCCAATTGAGCCTTCCCTCCTTATGTGGGCATTCTCCCATCATTTGCAACCCTGGAAAATCTGAATTTATTAAGGGCAGGTTTCCTTCCAGTGGAAAATGTGGGGAATGACTGGAGGCACAGAGCCACTGAAGAAGTTGTTGCAATGGTGGGCCTAGAAGTTCTGAGGACTGGCTCCAGGACTGAACGTAGGTGATAGGGGTGAAGTGGAACCGGAAGGACTCACTACAGACCTGAAGGTACAGGGAACAGAAGATGAAAGATGACAGTGAGGGCTGGGGACTGGGTGACTTGGATCTGTGGTGCTCTAGGAGGAGTGAAAGGATTTGGGAAGAAAGGTGACTAGTTGTTTTAGATAACCTGAATTGGAGGTGATGTTAGGGCTCTCAGATGAAACCAAGAGGGAGTTAAGACTGTGGCAGTAGATGTGTGCAAATGATGTAGACTTGATGGTCATTTGGAGCCTGTAGTTAATAAGAGTAAGGGGACCAAGGACAGATTCTTAGGGATGAATCGCATTTGTCAGGGACTCAAAGGCAGGCTGGGGAGTGCAGAGCTTTATAGGGGAGCAAAGGGGAAGGCTTCAGGTGTGCCCTAGTTGCAGGATGTTGGTATGGGGGAGCTGGAAGCAGCTTACTACTGAGACAGGCCAGTAAGCCAGGACAAGCAGAATAGGGGAACTGGGACAGATAGTTAAATTGCAGTTTGCAGCCATCAAGTAAATCCTACCTTCCTAAACCAGGGACGCTGAAGAGTAAATGGTTTGCACTTCTCCTCCCCAACCAGAGGGTAAATAGCTTAAATCACCCTACTCAGGGAGGCAGATGAAGTTAAGAGAACAAATCTCATTTTGGCACATCAGCATAAAGCTGATGAATATTCTATTTAGATCCTCCCCTAAGACCTCTCCTAAACTTTCAGCCTTTAAAACCCTTAGGCAGGCATCTCCTAAACTGTAAGGGACCCAGAGAGGCTTGCAGCCAGGGCAGCAATGGGCAGCTGCAGCTCATCCTAGGCAAACCCTCTGAACCTGTCCCCAGGGTCAGTCCCCTTTTCTCTGACTTCTTAGTGAGCCATAGCAGCCCAGCCTAGGCTCATTTCCCCACAGAGTCTCTTCCCCAGCTTGTTTCACTGTCCCCAGCTTTATTAAACATCCTTTAAAATTCACTTGTGAAACAGACTTGTGAAATTTTTTCTGCAAACTACCCACACACTACCTGCTGGCCCTAGGCAGACCGCTAAGGGCCAGGTCCCCTTTCTGGTAACACTACCAGCAGGACTCCTGTATGATTCGTTAGGGGAGTGTATTTGGCTTTCTCTGATTGGTCCTGAGTTGGAATCCTGGGAGTAGGGTAGGATAGCAAAAATTAGGGAAGCTAGCTGTTATTAAGTCCCAACCATTTGGGACTGATTGCTACAGAGGTTGTGGTTTGACTTCGTGGACTGATTGCTATAGATTGTGGGTCAGAGTTCTATTTTTATATATGGCCTGGCCATTGTACGTTTGTATGTTCAGTCTCTCACTGAATTACATTTAATTGTTATCAAAGATGTTTCATGGAGGAGAGAATGGGAGAGCCAAAGTCAGATGGCCTGAGTGTGAGGAAAGTGTGAGAGCATAGGTGGTTGAGCAGGAGGGTGTTGGTTGGTGGGTGGGTGGGGTGTCAAGCCCGAGGGGAATAAAGAGGTTAAGAATGGGGAAGGATGGTTGGAACCTGTCAGTCCTGTTTCTTAACCTTTCTCTGGCATTGCTCTGCATGTGGGAGTGGCTGGGGGACTTGTTGGCTCAGGCCTGGCAGGGGTTTGGAAGGCCAGAGAGGCCTTGGAAACCTTGAGGGAGCGATGGTGGAGAGGGTTGGAGAAGATGTTCTGGATACAGTGCACCTGAGTTTTCATTTCATAGGCTTGGCCCTGACTTTGTAATCATCAATCACAGCAGCATATTCACGCTTTAGAGTTTGGAGAAGAAGAGCAAAGAGGGGAAATGGAGGAAGCAGGATTAGAGCCCAGTTTTCATTTCATAGGCTTGGCCCTGGCTTTGTAATCATCAATCACAGCAGCATATTCACTCTTTAGAGTTTGGAGAAGAAGAGCAAAGAGGGGAAATGGAGGGAGCAGGATTAGAGCCCAGGAAGATCGCCACTGTGGCCTGTCATCTATCTCCAGGGACTTGGCCTTGGGCACATCCTCAGTCCTCTGGTCAAATCCTAAAATGGGCTCCCGAGGTCACTGCAACCTGAGACAGCAAGTGGCCTATTGCCTCAGCTCTGCAGAGGAGACAGAGTGAATGAATTATGAGATTTAAAAAAAGTATATAGCCTGCTCGAGAATGAGACAGCCTGCTAGTGGGTGACATATGGGACAGGAACCTAGGGTGTGCCTAAATATAGGGCTGCTTACCTCAGAACTCAAAAGCATAGAAACGGGGGCACTTAGTAGTTAGTTCCCAGTCTGGAGGTCAGGGGTGGGGACCCTGTTACCGGACTAAAGGGGTCCATTTGCCTTCATGCATTAAAGCCCAATTAAAAGCGAACAGGAGTTTGCAGCCAAGAAAGTAAGGGTTTATTAGTTGAGGAAGCAGCACTAAGCCTGGAGTCACAGGTAAGCTTGTGCTCAAAGACCTGGCTCCCGATGACCTCCAGGGGATGGGTGATATAGGGGGAAAATCATTAATTGTGGTGGGTAAAGGAATTAGGGTCCTGGGCTCTACTGATTGGTTGGGGCCAGTGTAGGGAGTAGTTGCTTGTTGTATCAGGTCCTGATATCAGCCATGGCATTGTTCTGCCTGGTTTCTTGAGGATGTGGTCTGCTTTCATGGGCCTGGGGGCTGAAACACAACTGAAGTCAAGATGTTATCTTTTGCTTGATGGAAACTTTTTCTGTGGTTAACAGACTTGAGGGTTTGTTATTAAGACATTTTGATAGTGACCTGAATCTGACGTCCTAAGGGCTTAATGGTCAAGGAGGAGAGTGGATGGACAGAAAGGAAGAAGAGTCATGTTAAAGAAAAGGAGTTTCTGCACCATTACAACCCACTGCAGGTTGATCTTGACCAAACAGGAAAGTGGACAGAAGAGGGCAAGAAGGCAAAAGGAAGCTGAGGGCCCTATAGCCGTTTTATGGGAGGAAAGGTTATGTGCTCTTGATAGGCAGTGTCCGTCTCGGGTTGGGCTGGGAAGGGAAGTACAGGATGGTTCACATTGCCCTGCAAGGATTCCATTGTTTAAAAGAGTAGAGCGCTCTCTGTCTTGGAGGATTTTAAAGCAGAGGCTGTGTTTTTGCTTGTTTCTGTTAGGGATGCTGGAGAGGAGAGTATATGAGGTTTCTCAGGTCCCTTCCCTCCATGGAATCTGATGCAGTCTCTTAAGAGCAATGCAGTTTCACGTCAGTCCATTCAGTCCATCAGTCCATTCACGTAGGAGACTGCAGGTGCTTTCTCTTCCTGAGTTTGGTGCCTCCTTTGCTTATTTCCTCAGGGCATTTCATCTGTTTCCACATGTCTCCATGAGTTTGAGATTCAGGATCTCATGAAGGATGTGCTATGGATTTGTTGGTCCAACTGTGAATGGCTGGGGATTAGATTAAAATTTAAATTCAAGCACTCCATTTGTGCCTTCTTCGCTTGGCAGTGGACTTAATCCCTTTATTGTATTGTCAAAGTCCACCTGCTGTTATTTCAGAAGTGCCTTTAAGTTGTTGCTTGGTATTGAAATCAGGAGCGAGAGGAGCTTGCTCAGGCTGGCAGCCACCGTTCCATCCAGCGTGTGGGTTTACTTGGTGTGCAGTGCAGGGGAGGGAGGGGTGAGCAGAGCTGAAAACCCAAGGAAGCTGAACTGCCAACTTCTGAGTCAGGTATTACATGGGAGGCTGGGCGGATGCGGGGAAGGCAGGGAGTGATTATGTTACCGGTGGGGAGAGATCCTCATTCCTACCTGTTGCTTGTGGGAGTGCAATTGTTGTGCATTCCTGAGAAAAAGAATTTTCTGAGACTCACACGGAGAGCAAGTGATTTTTATTTCTGTGGAATTACATCCCTGAGTTTCCAAGGTCCCATTTCCCCTGTTCTGCCAAGGGAGAAATGTAACTGGGGCTTCAATAGGGCTAAAATCAGTCAGTGTCCAGAGTTTCTGTTCAATGTTGGGGCAGTCCAGTGCAGCATCAGGCTGGCTTAGCTTGTGTTCCCTGTTGCAGTTCATCAGTCCATTGCATGTGGGGTCCACAGGGCCACTTGTCTATGGAGAAAACATGGGCGAGTGCAAAGAAGCAGGAATGAGAGAGCCCCACGAGCCAAGAGCATCAAGAGACAATTCCTTTGTTTAGGGCATTATGTATTCCCAAATTTTCATGGGCTTGCAGTGGCCACACCCATTCTGGCCAATGATCTCTATTCCTAGGTGTGACTGACAGGCACCTTCCCTAGTCATCCCAACTTCAGTGCACATTTATTTGTCTTCCCTTTTTTGGACCCCTTTGCCCAGTGATCTGTGGGGAATGGGCCGGTGGTTCCCTGGGAAGTGTGAAATTACAGCTTCCTGGTGAAGCTGCCCAAATGACGCCTATAATGTCTGGCCTCCCTTTTGCTCCTTTCCTATTACTAATAACTAGCTAATTACAATGGTATCAGTGATATAAAATAAGATATTATGGTTCCTAGAATATCAGCCCCATAAACAGGTAAGCATCTGTCCACACAGAAATGTTGATTTTTGTGTGTTTTTTTAATGCAGTTCTTTATCACTCTTTTTATTAGCGTAATTGGCTAGCTGTCATTTATTCATCAACAAAGAGTTGTTGAGTGGTTGTTATAATAATGTCTAACATATTCTATTTGCTTTACATGTATAACTCATTTACTCTCATCCTCACGATGACCATATGAGGTAGATTTTCTATTACTCTCCTCTTACAGATTTATAGGAAACTGAGGCACAAGGTTTATCAAGAATTACACAGCTAGCAAGTGGCAGGGTTAGGACTGTAGCCCAAGTAATCTCTCACTTAACCCTGCTCTTAACCACTATGACCAATACCAAGCACGCACTACATCTTGCATGGCTTGTTTCTAACAATAATAACAATCTCTACAGAAAGGGACATAAACAGGTAAATGATCTCAGCTTTAGAGCTCATACAGCATTTATATTTCTCGTCTAGTCCTCGCAACATGATCTCCATCTCAGACTAAACTGGAAAACTGACAGTGCAGGATCACAGAGCCAAGGAGCATGAGAGAAGATGCCAACCCAGGTCTCATCCTCTTTTTGTTGGATGTGGCTAAAACTGGCTTAGTCCCTGCAGCGTGGAGAAGGGAATTGAATCTAGAAGGGCAGCCCTAGCTGGGGATACAGTGAAAATAATAAAATACTTGTCAGGCTCTTACTTCTAGATTTTGAAATCCCCACTCCCCCGTGTCTCTGCCAGTAATTCTGTGCAACCCCAGGGTAGGTGTGGGTGTGGGGGGGTCCCTCACCTCTTCAGTAGTTCCCTTGGTTAGTACATGGCAGCCACCTCCCTGCTTTCCTGAGCAGAGTCTGCCAAAGACAGAATGAAAGTTATCCTTGACCTGGATGTGAAGCTGCCCAGGACACAAGTCTCCCTCAGGTTAAAGCAAACACATAATTATCTTTCTATTGGCTTGGAGAGTTCCTCTCCCTGGGGTGATTCTCTCTGTCACATTGGTCCCAGTGCTATGCTTTTCATCAGTGTAGACTTGGTAAAAGGCTTCTTCAGTATTGCTTTTTCCTTCCTCAGGATTCTAACCCAAAGCTGAGGTTGAGATAGACTTGCAGCACAACTCATAGTGTGTTCCACCCGGGAGCTTGTCGGAAATGCAGTTTCTCAAACCCCACCCCACCCCACTGAATCAGAATCTCTGAAGATTGATTCTGGGGGTTTTTGTTTGTTTCTTTCTTTTTTAAAATATATATCTTTATTGATTTCAGAGAAAGGAAGGGAGAGGGGGAGAGAGAGAAACATCAATGATGAGAAAATCATTGACCGGTTGCCTCCTGCACGCCCCCTGCTGGGGATCAAGCCCGGACCCGGGCATGTGCCCTGACTGGAACCAAATTGCAATCTCCTGGTTCATTGGTGGATGCTCAACCACTGAGCCACGCTGGCCGGGCTGATTCTTTTTTAATAGGCTCTCCAGGTAGGGTGACCAACTGTCTTGATTTGCACCAAACTGAGGGGTTTCCCGGAGCACAGGACTTTTGGTATTAAAACAGAGATGGATTGGTCACCCTAATTCCAGGTAATTCTTAACTGAGCTGCGGGATGTTGAACTGTGGACGCTGTGTGTGGTCAGTGGTCCCCTCCCCCTCTATCCCACTCCCATTCACCTATCTTTGGGTTGGGATTGTGTTCCCTGCCCTTTTCTCTAGGATGAGTTTTTTTCCCCAAGAGGCTAGTTGGTCCTTCAAGCATTTAGAACTCAGAGGGCCGCCCTCCAAGGCAGACTATGCTAATTATGGCTGAATAAGAAGCTGAGGCCCCTCTTCCTCTGGAAACCACTTTCTCTCCTGCAAGTGGGCTGAGAAGTGTTTTGTAGCCTGGCATACACCTTGTCCTTTTTGCCAGTATGGGTAACAAACATTTATTGAGCCAAACACACCAGGTATTGTCCTTGGGGTTCCACTTACGCTAAATTATCCTTAATGGGTCATTAAAACAGGCATCCTGAGGATGAAGTGTCAGAACATTAGAGGGAAAGGACTTCAGGGGCCATTTAACCCTGCGACTCAAATGTGGTCTGCCTGGGAGCTTGGTAGAAATGCAATACATATGTAGGGCCCTACCCCAGACCAGCTGAATTAGAACCTGCAGTTTAACAAGATCCTCAGGTAATTTGAATGCATTTTAAAATCCGAGAAGCCCAAAGCCCTTGTTTTACAGATGAAGAAACTGAGACCCAGGGAGATTAAGTGATTTGCTAAAGGTCACACATGAATTGTACTCAGCTAGTTTCAGGATCCAGTTCGGACTCTCAAGTCCAGCGCTTTCCTCCATACCTGGCTGCCTTCCTACAGGGCCCTATTTATGTTTGTCTAGTTCTATCTATTGAATGAACTTGAACTTAATTAAATTTATTTTAAAATACTTTAGTTTCTGTCTCGTTAATTCAGATGGAACTGCCTTTCATTTATCTGAGTGTGTGGTACTACTTTGCTTTTTAATTTCTTGTGTGTGTTTATTAGATTTGCTCAACAGTTATATGAAGCAATCACTTTCCACATGATAAAAATTTCTGGAACTGGGTGTACATAAGTGCTGCCATCTTTATAAAGACAAGCATGCATGAGAGAAAAAAAGTCAAACATTTTACCAGTTTTTGGTTTTATTTATTTTTGTTAATCCTCACTTGAGGATATTTTTTCCATTGATTTTTAGAGAAATTGGAAAGGAGGGAGGGAGAGGGAGGGGGAGAGAGTCTCTAGAGAGAGGGGGGAAAAAACTTCCATGTGAGAGAGACATATCGATTGGTTGCTTCCCACACACTCCCCGCCCAGGGCCAGGAATTGAACCTGCAACCCAGGTACGTATCCTTGGCTGGGAATTGAACCCTTCGGTGCGCAGACGCTCTGATCACTCTGCCACGCCAGCCAGGCCTTGGTTGGTCTTATTAGATGGTGTTTATGTCTGTTACTGCACTGTACACGCACACTGGGGAGAATTCGTCATTTTATGGTTGATCACAGCTGGGTCTGTGGACTTGGGATCCATTATTTTAAAAGTACTTCCAGAATTTTGGTTGCACGTGATGATGAAATGGCAGTGTCCCTATGGAGCTGTTTTAAAATATTATGTGTTAAAATGTCAGAATAGTTACATATGTTTAACCCGTATCGATGAACATTAGGTAGAGGGCTTGTTCTCACTTTGGCTCTGTCTGTTGTCCCATTATCAGGAGCTTTCCTGGTCCGTTTTCTCCACATTGTAAAACTTCATCCTTGCCGGGGTTAGTGAGGGGATCTGGCCATCGAGCTACTCCTTAGACATCTTTTCACGCAGTTCCTTGCACTTTCACGCCTCTCCCTTATGCCTCCCTTCTGAGGTACTCAGTGACCCCAACTCCTGAGTTTTTCAGGGTTGGCCTTCGGTTCTTCCTCTCTCTCAGGCAATTCCCATACGTCCACTTCTTCCATCTTCTGAAATACTGTTGACGTCCTTCATCGGCCCTCATCTTCCCTCCCAGGGTTTATACCACCCGCGTCCTTGATGTCACTGGGGGGAGGGGAGAGTATATTAAATCTGTGGTATTTAACTGGAAGTCTTTCGTTTGTTATTTAAATAATGTTTTATGTATTTTTGTTATAAGCTCTTTCTGATTCCTGAGTTTCTATGTGCTCTTTTTTTTTTTTTTTTTTTTCCCCC